AATTAGGAACATAGTGTGTCAATAATGCAAATAATGCATAGTAAATACTAATTTTTCAGTTAATGGCAGTTCATCATTGAATTCAGTGATGTCTTCATTCAGCTCAGTTCATAGTATCATAGTATCTGTGCAATCAAGGCGACGATATCGCTGGAAATGAAGTGTCCCCAACTAAGCAAGCCAGAGGCGACAGCGGCAAGGAACCAAAACTCCATCGGTGACAGAATGGAGAAAAAACCTTGGGAGAAACCAGGCTCAGTCGGGGGGCCAGTTCTCCTCTGACCAGACCAAACCAGCAGTTCAATTTCAGGCTGCAGCAAAGTCACATTGTGCAGAAGACTCATCTGTCTTAAATGTACTTGAATTAAAACAGCAGAAATCCTGAATATACATTTATGTCTTTTCTGCTTGGATCAATGCTGTAGTTGCAAAAGCTTTTTTTTTTTTTTTGTGCTTCTTTCATTTATGAATAGATGTATATCTGTGTTAGCCTTTTGTGGACCAAACTACTAGTTTGGCCACTTAAAAAAACGTCATGCCGTAGCTGGAAAAGAATGCTGAGAGAATTGTGGTTGTGAAAACCCTTCAGAGCTGTACTTGCTTGGAATTCATCATGTTACTATGACAACACAATCCGGCCTGCTCAAAACACCATGTGTCATCCACCAATGACCGTTAGCTCTCTTCCTCTTTTCCTTCCCATGTCCTACTGATAGAGATTCCATTTAATTTCCAAAGGGATAAACTATATAAGTTGTCTGAGTAACGTTCTCTTTATTTTGTCTGGGGAAATATTGATTTATTAGTTCTGTGGTGTAATGAATGCATGAATTCTAGCTAAACATTCTGTACTCTTTCCTGGTATGTGCACAGTAATTATTTTGCCAAACACACCCCTAGGTTGTGTTGTTGTAGACTTTAAGTATGAAAGAGTGCATTTTCTTACATAGACTAAATGGTTAAAGGCACATCCTGTGTGCTGGGTAGAGACATCCCCTCATACCTACTTTGCAGACCGGAACAAGCCTTATCAGCAGCCCTACCCTTAAAAATAATGCCCTGGCAAGTATCCTTTTCAGACATCTGTCCAAAATTGAGAGCAAGACATGTTGTGTTTTAAGGCAAGACACATTGTGAAAGCTTTGAGTCACTCACTTGGGAAATGGTGGAAAGGAGTGAGAGCTGTTCCTTCCTGCTTGTTGTGAAAACATATATTCTGAACATTTGTTCAACATAAGTATGAGTGCATTGACGTGAATGCTGCTTTTAGCTGGTTTACTATTGTCCATCAGGTTTCAAGTCCACCAAAAACCCCTAAATCCAGGAAACCAGAGCAACAAACCATTTTAGGCCAGTTTAAGGTGTGTTTATGTTCCAGCAAGTTTAAGTGTGGAATTTCTCATTCATAAATCTCTAACAGGAGGATTAGTATATTCATTTACATACATACACTCACGTACACTACTTCACGTTTGGATTGTAGATCTCAGTCAGCGTTTTCTGTGGCTTTAAGCCCTAAACAGTTAACATTACAGTCCTCACCCCCAGACTCACCCAACCTCACACTCATCATTCGGGCGGAGCCCCGGTATAAATTCCTGCTCTGCTTCTTGACCAGCTCTTGCTCGGGACATTCAGTTAATTTTTTCATCTTCAGGTGACGCTCTGCATTTTATCAGCGTAAGTACGCAATCTTTTACTATTCAGAAACGACTTGACAAATAAGAGCATAGTACAACTTAGTTACCTACTGAGAGCGCTTTTTGAGAAAAGGTTCTACCATAATATTGTAAGTTATGGCTCCTTGTTAAGCGTTAGTGGGACCAAACTTTGAAATACGAAAATACTTAACGATAAGCCTCCGAATGTGACGTATGTGTAGATGCACAGATTCTATGGACGTCAGCGTCATTTACGTAATATAATCTAAACTTTACAGGTAGATTACCAGTTCAGTTTATACAACTGCTATTAATACTTAAATAATTGAAAGATTTGCATCAGCATATACTGTTATTAAATGCCTTAATTTTTACTGCATCTACTTGGCATTGTTGGTGGGTATTGCTCACACTTTGGCTTATTTCCAAATGGAAAAATCCACTGCTGTTTCAGTCTGCCTAGTAGGAGGAGAACAATGGGCTGTTTGCACAATATTCAGTTTGATTAAGGGATGAAACACTCACATAAACTAATACACTATCTCTCACTGTAGACAGTCACAATGCCGTCTGATCTGGAGAGAGCGATGGAGACGCTGATCACAGTGTTTCACCGTTATGCGAGCAAAGAGAGTGGAACATCAACATTAAATCGCAGAGAGCTCAAATTGCTGATGGAGACCGAGTTGTCTAGCTTTCTGAAGGTACAACATTCCATCTGTTATTGCTACACCCAGGGCGGGGCAACTCTAAACACTGGCTTGGGCCCTGTGATGATCGGGGCCCGCTATGGTGTAGCAAAATTTTTGGCCCTGCTCATCTTTCAGATCTTTCTAAAACTTTACTCTTTTTCCATTTTCTATGGAAAACTGCTTCCATTTGTTCTATTTTAAACATGTACTTCTTGTCTCTTCTACTGCAGTCTCAGAAGGACCCTGCTGCTGTAGACAGGATTATGAGGGATTTAGACACTAATGGCGATGGAGAGGTGAATTTTGAAGAGTTTGTGTCTCTTGTGGTGGGCCTGTCCATTGCCTGCGAACAGCTCTACCAGATGAAGCAGAAGCAGGGGGCAGGGGGTGTCAAAAAGCAATAAAAGATGACTGTTCTGTCATTTTGTTAATAGAGATTAAAAGCCACATGCCTCAATTTGAAGTTGTTACTACAATTTCACTGTATGCATGTAAAGGAGGATGTTTTTTCAGTTTTGTTAAGTGCTGTTCAATTTTATTTTCAACTCTTTGTAAGTATTAGCATTAGACACAAAAGAAATCATCCACAGAAGTCCCGTAACTTCCACCACAGAAATAAACACTTTGTTTATATACAGGTTGTTTTTTGTCATCCTTTGCTTCCATGCAGTTCGGAGCTGGATTCAGCAATTCTTTGCAAAGTTATAAAGATGTCATGTCGCAAGTTTTTTCAATGAGACTCCAGAATGAGATTCCAGAACTAAGCCTCTGTATACTTTGTTTGAATTGACATTTTTGTTATATTGATCATTCTAGAAAATGGGTGCCATTTTGTCCCTTATTTGCACAAACAACTTATAAGAAGTATGAGCATTAAATTATATTTACTTTTCGCAAGTGCCTTTAAAGTAAAATAACTGGTCAGCCTTGTTATTTCTGCAGGCATGACGTCCCAAAACACAGCATATTACAGGATTTATTTAGCTTGAGATGAGAATGAAATTTGTTAACCCTGTATATGTTTGTATGTTTAGTTCTGTGTACCTTTCTGTGTTTTATTTCCTCTGTTCTGATGATAATCAAAAGACGTTACAATAACAGCTGCTTGATTGGTACAGATTAGATGAAACGTCTCATTTAACGTGATGACTGAAGTGCTGCAGAACAACCTTGCCTTATCCCACAAATGATTGAATCTCTAACAGACACTCACAACATCAATAAAGTTCAATTTGAATTGAAACTAATTACACTTATTCCTGCCTGAAGAGCAACCAGACTGAAGGAAACATAATTTTCTCATTGGTACTACAGGGACTTCATAGATATTCAAAGAGCAGTCAGGTAAAAACTCTTTGTTAATTATTAGCATTTATTATGTCTTACTGGGGAAAATGGGAGTAAAACATTTTATATGATTATGTACTATATACAATATATAAACATATATTTAAACAAATAATTGTTATTCTCCTGACATTGGTATTTTTAACTAATACAAATATGAAAAATAAATGTTGTTTCTGAATGCTTTCTACTTATAGAATATAAAGGTAGGTTCAACTCTCATCCTTTTTTATCTAAATCCACCATTTACACAACAGACATGAAGTAAACCGATTTAACTCAGATGTAACTCTAACATATCAATATTTTATGCATTACTGCAATCACATTCCTTTGTGTGTTACGGCCTATCTGTGGAGCATAATTTTCACGATTTGTACCCTCACTGGACCTCATGCACAAGCTAGTGTTTACATATTATATATATGTATAATAAAATTTACATATTAAACTTTTAGAATCTAGAGTTTAAAATTATAGTTAACCCGATGACACATTTGGTTGGTGATTTTAACACGTGCAAGCCCTCCTCCCCCTCACGAACCACCTACAGTATGTGGGCGTGTTTGAAATCCGTGTAAACAAGTCGAGTTGCAAAGCAACCATGAATGACTCTGGGGTGTGTCAACCACATGAGGTCATGGCAACAGTACTAACATGTTTTTTTTTTTTCTACTCCGTAAGGCACATGATGTGTGTGAACTTTAAATACATAGTTCAGATCTTCAGTACAATGTTGATACAATACTAATAATTATTATGTGTACATATACAGCCTTCTCACATTGATGCACAAACAAACTGAATGACACAAGGACACTTTTATTTTATTTTATTTTATTTATTTATGTATTTATTGTAAAAGTGAAATTAAGTGTTTGAAGGGTGCTGGCCAATAGAGGGCGCTGGGGCTCCGCCCTCCCTGAGCTACACACTAATAATAATAATAATAATAATAATAATAAATATATAAGCTATATATAAATATAGCTTTTAATTTACCTTTTATTTCAGATATGTTTCAAATTCTAGATTTTAATATTCATTTACTTCCGTTAGCCTAACTCTTTATTCTTTAACGTTAACCGTTTAACATTAAATCATGCTGGGATGTTTGCTGAAATTGTTGAAAGCGGCACAGCCCTATAGAAAAATTTTCCACCAGCCGGTATTGTTAATATATGCCACACGACCATATAATTATAGTTAAGGAAGGTGATCACTAGATGTCAGCAGTATACCACATGAGCACATCAACTCCTCTTCCTATTCTCCACTTCTCCTTTTCTATTTCTCAACTCGTAGACAAAGAACACTTATTTTCCCCCCACAATAGCTCCACAAATGAGATCAAACATGTCTGTGGGTGTTTGCTAAATGCTCAGCAGTTTAGAGCACAATTACTGTTCACATCTGTCTCTGGTGAATTGCTTTAAAAACTGACATGCTAACATCAACATGTTTGCTTCCCTTTATCAGTTTTGATATTAAAGTGTCATGATATCATATAAAGGGATTTTATTTTGTGCATTTTATTTTTTATTTTCCTTTTCATATTATATTTTTTTTACTGTAGGGCATGATCTTCATGCTGGACCCTCATGGCTATGGCACCTGTGTGTGTGTGTGTGTGTGTGTGTTTGTTTGTGCACTACAGTAAAAACACCGGAGGTGTATATATGCTTACCATACAGTATAGAAGAACTGGCCCTGAACAAAAGAGGGTTAAATAACACACACTTAAAAGTGCACACCCTTCACAGTCTACAGATCTGTCACAGAGGTTTGTGACATTGACATGTGCTTTGTTGTTTGTTTTTATGAAGATAAAAATACATATTCTGTTATCATCCGTGAAAAGTATGTTCGGTTAAGTGAATTCAAACGGGTGTGGTCTGTTTATCCGGGTGTTTACTTTTTCAGGAACCAAAACTATAATATCAATATATTATGACACTCATGGCTGATGAGTCAGTGTCTTAGCATTTCTCTCATAACGGAAAAGCTTAAAGAAGATACTGAATAATCCCGTTGCTGCACACTGAGCAGTCATCAGTTTTAATGAAATTGAGCAGTCATTGTCTGTGGTTTTGTGCACTATTGTATGCACCATTGTCTGCAGATGGCTTCATTTTTGTTTGCATTTCTGTGTACAGCTGCAGATAAAACATTCATCAATACAAGGCCATTTTGCAAATATCAGGCATTCTTTGATGTATAAAGACTAGATTTAGAGAGGAGAAGCGTGTCTGTTTATTACAAACATGAAGCTTCACTTGAAGCTTGTGATTCAAACCTCCACGAAAACATCAGCAACAGTGTCATAGCCGCAAAATGAGTCTTTTATCTTTATCCTAAATGTTGAATGTGAAACATTTTTAAAAGAAAGTTTAAAGCTTGCCCATTCACATCAGAAAAAAGACATGGAAATATGGCGTTCAGGCCTGGCAACGCCCAGAAGAGAGAGCGAACGAATCACTAAAATATGACTCAGATTACCCATGCAGTCTGACTAGGGAAATCCCCTATATTTTGTTTGTTTACTTATTAGTTACTATAATCAACTAGCTCAAACACATCACAATATGATCTTTAAAGCTAAAAAGTGTAACAAAAATCTATTTTTTTAACGGCATGTGAATCTCGTAGAGCTGGATTGGGTGTGCTACGGATCCTTCATAGCAAAAGAATGAATCATTCCTGCCATTGTGTGTGCTGTGGAGTATAAAATCTGTGCTTTAAAAGCAGCAGATGATTTACTCCAGCAAAACATCTGCTTAACTTCTCTGGGAACACACCAAACTCAAGGTAGGTGAAAGAAAATAGAAAGAGAGAGAGAAAATGAGAGTGCAAAAAGCAGGAAATACAGAGCTACAAAAATAGGACAGAGAAGAAATTTATAGAAATGCAATCTATAATTTTGTGGGTATTTTTGCAACAGATGTAATTGTATTGCATTGGCTAAAGACTTTCTGGTTGATAAATGTGCATGAAGAGGTGCTGACTGGCATTAGTGCATGAGATGATTTCTCTCTCTTGTTTTCTTTCTTATAGACATGTCTAAGCTGGAGAAAGCCATCGTGGCCATAGTGGAGGTGTTTGAGGAATATGCAGGGACAGATGAGCAGAAAACCCAACTCAGTAATGCTGAACTTGGACAGCTAATCAAAGCCCAAATTACCAGTCCTGAATTTAAGGTGAGAATTAGAGAGATGCATTGAAAAAAGATGAAGTTGTGAGAAAGAAAGCTATTGGTTGGAGGAAGTGAACACCTCCGACATGTTGCAAGTTGCAACAAATCTATTTCCTAATTAAATGCTGTGCGGATGTTGTGCAATGTTATCATGGCAACTGGCATGAGAGGGGTTTACCCTAATGAGTCATAACATGCATGCATGAGGATCTTCATTTTATCCGTCTTTCACTTGCTAACATTCTTTTTAGTGTCTAGTACACAAAGCCTCCTCTAGTTGTTCTTCGGGGGTTTTTTTGGCGATACAGCTATGAGTGGTATGTAAGTAATTACAGCATTGACATTCCTCCCTCTATGTCTGTCTCAGAATAAAGTGGATCCAGACAATATTAAGGAGGTCATGGAAGAACTGGATAAGAACCATGATGGTGAAGTGAACTTCCGTGAATTCAGTCAGTGTATAGCTGGCCTAGCCAAGGCCTACTACACAAAGAAGCACGGCAAGGATAAGTGCAGAGGAAGCGGCAGGGGTTGTCAGAATAAATGAACACACACATCCTTACACTCCTGAGGCTCTAGACACTTGCCTTCTACAAGGTGCTAAAGTACCTCTCTATGATGTGTAATAATGCTGCATTTTATATGCTGTAAGACAGGCACAGTAAAAAAAAAAATGGTTTAAAGTAGTTCATGTAGTAGGAAACATTTCTCAACAGACAGTGTTGTGAAAAATGCTTGTTCTGCCTAACGAACAATAAAATTTACTTAGACACACATTTTGCAGTAGTGTAATCTATTTTTCTGAACACCAATAAAAACTTCTTGTCATCACTCATGTACTTCTCACTTCATTTGTATGTCATCTTTTTTACCAATGATGGCATTTATGATTTCAAGTTATTTCACATATTTTTTTTATGTTAAAACAATATATATGTACATCAATAATTGCATGCAATTTTTTTTTAAACCTGTATAGCACATAAGTTTATTTAAATTATTGCATGCCAGGCTTTAATATTATACGGATTTTTGGAGGTCATGATATCACTCCATGTTATACTTTTTTTTATCACATAATTAATATATACAATTCTTATAAAAGATCATTTGTAGACACTTCAATTCACACTCACACACTCACATTTTGCACACTTGTGGAATGAAGCTCTAATGCAGTTGACCTACTTGCTCAAAGAAAACATGCATGCAAATATGTTATTTTAAGAGAATCGCTTTGTAACGTACTAATGACTCTGTGTCACACCTCTGTTTTACGAATGTGCAGTAACCTTAAGAAAAGCTCACAATTTGCTATCAGGTATATATTACCTTTTGTAAAAGTCACTTAAACTTTTTGGCTAAAGACTTTAAATCATTCAGTGCACATTAATGTCACATTACATTTGAATAAAATGTATTCCAAACCCCACATGTAAGCATACAGACAATTAACTTTGCCCTACCATTTATGTTTTTCATAATGGCCTAGATCAAACAGAGGTGTGCTGACAGGAGTGCAGGCAGTTCTGTTTGAAGTATCTCATTTTATGTACACTTATTCAAATTGACAGTTCTGCTGCAATGCAAAAGCAAATAACTTGCCCATTTCGATTAGGAGATCAAGCTTAATTGCTAGCAAAGATTGTTGTCAGTGATCAGTCGGTTATATGTCACATTTACAGACTCAAGATGAAACGTAGAGCTGTAATAAAAAAAAAATCTATATTCAAATTCCCAATTTACCAGTCAAAGAGAGTAATATATCAGACTGTTGCATAATAGCAGCTTTAGTATAGTATAGTTTTAGTATACTTAAGGAGCAGGTCTGAACCTGTTTCAGCCACCCAGTCCTAATCCTTCTCTCACATTATTGTAGTTCTGAAAGTGAATATGAATATGCCAAGACATTAAGCAACATGTCATGCAAATGCTTGTTTTATTGATTAAAAAAAATAACGTAAAGATAAGAAAAGAGCTGCAAATGAGCATAACAATTTATGGGAATAATTAAAATTTCTTTGATCCTGCTTTTACTTAAAAAGCAGCCGCACTCGCATGAACTCCACAAGTTTGTGTAAATGATTTGAAATTCAAAATTCAAAGCGCATGAAGAACATGGTCAACATGATCATGAAAAACAAATTCTCATGATCAGTGTCACCATTTTGTATTTCTTTTATTTATTTATCTTTTTTTTTTTTTTTTTTGAATAATTGATTTGACCTAGAAATACTGCAGCATATTAACTTTTATTTCTGTTTACTTCCAGTTTTATATTAAAAAAAAACATTTGAATCCTAGATTTTCAATGTGGTCACAGAGGTTTGGGCCTCACTATATATTAATAGATCCTCCGAACATGCTACTAGGAGGATTTCTGCAGGGACACCTCTTTCTCTGCTGTATATATTGTTTTTCCCAGAGTGCAGTCCCTGTCCTCCGCACCTGTACAGCAGTCTAATGTAAGAGTGAACACACCCACATGTTCCTAAACACACAAACCACACAAACAGCATCTCGATCAGGCCTGTTTACACGGAGCAGATGGCATTTGCTTGGAAGAAATCCTCTGGTACTTGCACCCCACATGATGTAACCTGGAAAAAAAGTCATAATGTGAGGAAAACCGTACCTAATTAGCACCTTAACGGTGCAATTGTTTTACATTTATAGATTGAAAAGTATATTCCTAGCATGAGTGCATTTACTGTGTTGTGGGTGACAAGAATGAGTAGGCGTGTCTAACCTTTCCACTTGTAGTCTAAGTATGTTATATATTGTGGATCAGTTAATGTGAAGTCATTAATCTCCATACTCTAACTCAATGTCAGAACACACTGTATGCAAGAGACTGTCTGAATTTTTAAAATGGGAATTCCATGAGATGTGCATGCATGACTTTAAACCGCATTCAAATATGGGCTGGTTGTGACTCATCTATTGTCTGCTCAGACGCATCATAACTCGCAGGGAAAAATGTCCCTTGGGCGCATTTCCATAAATCAGTCATTTAAATCAGGAAGTGTACAGCATTCTGAGCTCAAACGCACTCACTGAAGTCCTGATCTTTACATGCTTCTGTCCCACCCTTTCATTCTTCTCTTGTCTTTTTGCTACAGTATGTGGCATGATTTTGGTGTGGTGATGTGGTGACTGTTTCAACTGTTCAACTTCTAGAACGAAAGCAGACAAAGACAGACAAATAGAAGCATAAAATAAAATATGTTTAGAGGCGATAAATATCGTTTGAAATACACATTTACGTTAATTTAGCAAAGCAACATTCAACTGCTGCAACAAGAGCAACTTACCCTAAAAAGACTGTGATATGAGGAGCGTTGTAATATAAGGTTTCAGAGTTGCTTTATGAAAAGTATGAGGTAATATCGGTCAAACACTGACTGTGGGCTTCTGACATGAACATGGATTTGTTGAAGTGAGTGGAGGTAAATGGTGCACATCCCGTGGCAGTTCAAGCAGGGCCACATTAACACTAACAGAGACCCCAGGGCTTTAATCTCGGAGGTACCCGATACACCTTCATTTCGTAGACAGTGCAAAGGCCCACTGATTTCATGATCGTTTTGCACAAGTAACCTGTATTTCTATTGATGCAGGGACAAATACAATGGACAGCAACTTCCAAATGTAGGTGCTACAACAGTAAAATATGCATAGATATTAGGCCTACTACCCGAACTGACTGATGTAGTAAATTATGAAAATAACCTGCTTTTTAAACTGCATTGTTAAAATGCCTGCATAAATGCTTTATTCATTTTAACTGTGCCCTGTACTAACTTCCACTGTGGTATATGGTATAGCAAGACAAAAAAAAAAAAAAAACATACATCCTGTGGAAATTTTAAAATGGGTTGTGGTAGTCTGCTGAGAGGTCAGTAGAGATGAATGGCTGGTCGTAGTTAATGCAGCCAGTGGCCACTGTGGAGGTGAAGTGGCACGATTGGCAAGGTGTACAGAGAAAACCACACAACCACCTCACACGCAAACGAACACACAGTTGATACTCACAAACACACACACAGACAATTCTTTTGGCTGTTCTCTTAATAGTGCGTTTTGAGTCTAAACTGCTTTGACAGTGTTTAAGATAAGAGTGGTGAAATGTGATAATTTAATTAGTTTGAGGTCAGATTGGACGGTGGGTTGCAGGGGAAAAAATCCAGTTGAATAGAATGTTATTTAATATTCTTTATCACCATAGCGTCAAATGGTTTTCATTGTGAAATCGTGCCATAATGTTCAGTTGACACAGTTACGGTTTCATTTGCGTGATTCTGAAGGTAAACATTGGAGCGAGCTAGAGAATGATCACATCATAAAGGTAAAAGCAGGGGCGGACTTAACCAATAAGCGAGGTCAGTGGCCGCTTAGGGCCCCGTGGAATCAGGGGGCCCCATCTGATATTGGCGAAACATGTTTGGTACATGCTCCAGTGTGTATTTGTGTTATAGAGTGCGTCAAATGTTGACTCACTGCTCAAAACTGAGTTTTTGTCAGGTGCTGAGTTCTCTTAATTACATTTCCAATTGCATAGCAAACCCTACCATATGTCTTAAGAACACTTGGAATACCGAACGAGTTGCATGGGATCATTTTGAATCCTTTTTGTAAAAGATTGAAGAAGTTTACAATTCATTAAATGGACAAGTGCACGCATTTTTTTTAATAATGTCTTCTTTTGTGATCTGAAAAAATAAGGTAGCCTAATATGGCTTTAGAACAGCATCAGGTTGACTAATTATTTAAGTTGTGAAGGGGTAAATAAACTAGTTATAAACTATGAGAGAAAGAGAAAGCAAGCAAAATAAGGGTTAGGCGTAAAAGTGCATATAGTTATTGTGTTGGGGCTCCATACCTGAAATTTGCTTAGGGCCCCCAAATCACTAAGTCCGCCCCTGGGTAAAAGTTTATACATACAACAGCCTGGAACGGTTTTATAGTCGTACCGTTTCTCACCATGCTCAAACCCGTTCGGCTCGAAGTTGGAAAAGTGCTTATTTGGAAGGAAGTTGGTTTGCTTACTAAGTAAGAAGGCCTCAACACCGAAGTCTCTATGACATTCTGGTTTAATTATAAAATATAGGCTAAGTATTTAATATAAATAAATTATAAATAAAAATAGATTAATTGACTGTTCCATTTTATATCTGATATATAATCAGATACTGTAGGCCTGTTTACTTTACATAGATATAGCTTATATGTCAGTGTACTCTGTCCCATTGTTCTGTTCACCTCAATCTGATTGTAATTCAGCATTTCGCTGTCAGTGTGCAAATAGCAACTAAACAAAACTTCATTTGGCTTTACTTCATTTGAGAGATAAACCTCATTTCTAGCGCACTCAAGAGCAGAGAAAACATTTTGGAAACACACAAGAGTATATAGAAAACAAGGACAAGCAGCTGAAAGCTGGAAGATTTCCTTTTTAAAGTATACCATGCCAGAGTGGAAATAAAGCTGGCATCAGGAAAACATAAAATGTATCAGCCCACAGAGAGAAAGAAAGGGGGTGAGGTAGAAAGAATAATAGCGAAACAAAGAGAAAGTAAGAGACATGAGCGGTGGGGGCCAGTGTAAAGATGGTGTGTGATTTTCCATTCAGGGGAGCAGAAGAATAGAAGCACTATAACGAAACACAAAGCATTTCCTATAGGAAGCATCATTACATGCACACAAT